CCCCATCCCCTCATCCTCCCCCGCCATTCCCTCCCCCCCCCTCCACCGTCCCTTTGTCCTCGCCATTCCTCACTCCCCCGTCCCCTCTTCCTCCCTACCATTCCCTACACGTCCTTTACCATCACCCACTTCCCTGCCCTCTTGTCCTCTCCACCATTTTTCATTTCAATGTCACCTCATCCCCGCCATCCCCCAACTCCTCCGTTCCCCTCGTTCTTCCCACCATTACCCCCCTCCCCTGTCCCCTTGTCCTCCAAACCAACCCCCACTCTCGTCGTCTTGCCCTCCCTACCAATCCTCACTCACTCGTTTGATGCATTCCCAAATGATCTCATGTTCCAATAAAAAAATTGGGAACATCAAATGATAAGATGTTTCTGTCACTGAAATATAAGAAAAACAGTTAAAAAATGAAATGAAAATAAAAAAAAATAAAAAAATAAACTATGCTTACGAAATGAACGGTATGGTAAACAACACAGCTCAATTCCAATGCAATGTCACACAAAATAATTAAATCATAATGAAAATAAATCGAAATCCATGAAAATGCAATTTATCAATGAAGTTGGAAACACTGCAATGAAATCGTAACTTATTTAGTATAGTGTGTGTGTTGCTCTTACCTGCAACAGATGGCACTATTTCTTAAAAAAAAGAATGTTTTACATGTCACAGGTGTGGCATCTATACTAATACTTACGAAATGAACGGTATGGTAAACAACACAGCTCAATTCCAATGCAATGTCACACATAATAATTATATCAAAATGAAAATAAATCGAAATCTATGAAAATTCAATTTATCAATGCAATCGGAAACACTGAAATGGAATTGTAACATATTTAGAATAGCGTGTCTTTCTATTAAGTGCAGTGCAGTGCACTGTTTAAAAAAACATGTTTTTACCTGTCACAGGTGTGGCATCTAAATAGCAGGCATATAAAAACATGTACATATTCGAATGGAACGTTGTGTCAAAATTTCAAAGAAATCGGTGAAGAACTTTCGGAGATTACTGTGTGTGTTGCTCTCATGTTCAACAGATGGCGCTGTTTTTCACAAAAAACATATTTTTTCCTGTCATAGGTGAGGCATGTATATAGTAGGTATATAAAAACATGCGCCTATTCGAATGCAACGTTGTGTCAAAATTTCAACGCAATCGGTAAAGGGTTTTCAAAGATTTCCCTCTCATGATAAACACTTGAAAAACACAGTTTAAAAAAAAATGTTTTTTTTTTATGTCACAGACGTGACATTTATGTAGTATGTATATAAAAACCTGCTCGGATGCGAATGGAACGTTGTGTGAAAATTTCAGAGCAATCGGTGAAGAACTTTCGGAGATTAGTGATTTTGAACAAACGAACATTTCTATTTGTATTTATATAGATTTAAATATTGAATTTTAATGTCGCCTCTTCTCAAAGAAACACACGTCTAAACACACACACACACAACCCCGAATCCTACAATCCCAGAGGGGAGTGGGGAACCCTTCTCAAACAGTGCAACAGCGCAGGGAGTGGGGCACCACCCCCACGTTTTACCCAACAGACACCCTACCTGCCCCATTCCCTGACAGCCCCCCACTAAGTACTCACCGAGGGCACCCTTTCCCCACCCACCCCCCCTCCTCCCACTCACCCCTATCCCCAGGACCTCCGTTCTCCCCACCCCCCTAAACCCCCAACTCTCCCCCACCCCACCTAAGCCTTCCCCTCTCCCCTAAACCCTCCCCTCTTCCTCACCCACCTCAGCCTTCCCTTTTCCCCCACGCCCCCCAAGCCCTCCTCCTTTTTATGCCCCCCCCCAAAGCCCCCTTCTCCCTCATCCCCCCAAGCCTTTCCTCCCACCCATGCCCCCCAAGCCTCCCCATCTCCCACACCCCCCAACCCTCACCCTCTCACCCACCCAGCCCAACCCCTCACCCTCTCCCCCCCAACCCTCCCCTTCTCACACACCCCCTGTCCCCCACCCCCGAGCCCATCTCCTCCGCCAGTTTCCCCGTACCAGATCCTCCCAGCCCCCGCTCACCCCAGATCCAACAGGTCCCCCCCATCCCCAGAGGAGAAGCAGAAGAGAATCAGTTTCAGGGTAATGTACTCAAACATAGATGGGATTACAAGCTAGGCAAGTGAACTAAGGGAAAGAGCACAAGAAGTGAACCACGATGTAATCGGACTCACAGAAACAAAACTTTCAGGAATCATAACGAATTCCGTGTTTCCCCAGGAGTACACAGTAATAAGGAAAGAGAGGGAAGGTAGGGGAGGAGGCGGAGTGGCCTTACTAATGAGAAAGGAATGGAGTTTCAAGGAGATAACTATCCTGGGCAGTGAGGGTTTCAGAGACTACATAGCAGGCACCATGTCAATGGGAGGACCAAAAATAGTAGTAGCAGTAATATATAACCCTCCACTAAATGACAGAAGACCCAGTCAAGAGTATGAAAACAACAACATGGCAGTTAAAACTATAATTGAGAGGGCAACCTCTGCTGCCTATAGAAATAGATCCCATCTCCTCATCATGGGGGACTTCAATCACGGAAGGATTGACTGAGAGAACAAGGAACTGCATAGAGGCTAGGATACGTGGAGAGCCAAACTATTGAAGGTGGTGACTAGAAACTTTTTAACCCAGCATGTCAGAGAACCCACAAGGATGAGAGGAAATGGCGAACCAGCGAGACTCGACCTAGTCTTCACTCTGAACGACTTCGACATAAGAGAAATCGGTTTTGAGGCCCCAGTAGGAATGAACGACCACAGTGTACTGGCGTTTGAGTACCTGATTGAAGAAGGGTTATTGAACTCAAGGAGGGGTACTGAAAACAAGAGGCTGACATTCCGAAATGGAAACTATGAGGAGATAAGAAAATTCCTAACAGATATAGCATGGGAAACAGAGCTCAAGGGAAAGACGGCCCAAGACATGATGGACTACATCACGCAGAAGTACAAGGAAGCAGCAAACAAGTTTGTCCCAGTCCAAAAGGAAAACAGTGAAATGAAGATGAGAAACCCCATTGTTTAATCAGAGATGTAGGCTAGCTAAGCAGCAAAGTAAAAGGGCGTGGAGAAACTATAGGAATAACAGGACACTGGAGAGCAGAGAAAGATACCAGAGTGCCAGGAATGAATATGTCAGGATGAGAAGAGAGGCAGAAAGACAATAGGAAAGTGACATCGCAAGCAAGGCAAAGACTTTCCCTAAGTTGCTGCACAGCCACATCAGGAGAAAAACAACAGTAAAGGAACAGGTTATGAAATTAAGGATAGGGGGCAGAAGGATTCACTACAAACGACAAGGAAGTATGTAAGGAACTGAAGAGGAAATTCCAGGAGGTCTTCACCTTAGAGCAAGGAGAAATTCCAGAGATAAGAGAGGGAATAGTTAACCAGAAAACTGGAAGAGTTTGAAATTACCAGCGGGGAAGTAAGGAAGTGATTACTAGAGTTGGATGTGACAAAGGCTATAGGCCCAGATGGAATCTCCCCTTGCATACTTAAGGAAGGAGCAGAAGAACTGTGCCTGCCACTCTCCATAGTGTATAACAAATCAATGGCAACAGGGAAGCTGCCAGAAATTTGGAAAGCAGCTAATGTAGTCCCGATATACAAGAAGGGGGATAGACAGGAGGCACTGAACTACAGGCCAGTGTCCCTAACCTGCATACCATGCAAGCTGATGGAGAAGATTGTGAGAAGAAAGCTAGTGGAACATTTGGAGCGAAAGAACTTTGTAACACAGCATCAACATGGGTTCAGGGATGGCAAGTCCTGCCTCACAGGGTTACTTGAATTCTACGACCAGGCAACAAAAATCAGGCAAGAAAGAGAAGGGTGGGCAGACTGCATATTTTTGAGAAAGCCTTTGATACAGTGCCACACAAGAAGCTAGTGAAAAAGCTGGAGATGCAGGCTGGAGTGAAAGGGAAGGTACTCCATTGAATAAAGGAGTACCTAAGCAACAGGAGACAACGAGTCAATGTGAGGGGTGAGGTCTTAGATTGGCGAGACGTTATAAGTGGAGTCCCGCAGGGGTCAGTCCTTGGACCTATACTGTTTCTGATATATGTAAATGATCTCCCAGAGGGTATAGACTCGTTTCTCTCAATGTTTGCTGATGATGCAAAAATTATGAGGAGGATTGAAACAGAGGATGTATAGTAGGAGGCTATAGGACGACCTGGACAGACAGAATGAATGGTCCAACAAATGGCTGTTAAAGTTCAACCCGAGTAAATGCAAAGTAAATGAAACTAGGCGGTGGAAACAGGATGCCAGACACAGGATACAGAATAGGCCATGAAGTACTTTATGAAACGGACAGAGAGAAAGATCTAAGAGTTGATATCACACCAAACCTGTCTCCTGAATCCCACATAAAAAGAATAACGTCTGCGGCATATGCGAGGCTGGCTAACATCAGAACAGCCTTCAGGAACCTGTGTAAGGAATCATTCAGAATCTTGTATATCACATATGTAAGACCAATCCTGGAGTACGCGGCCCCAGCATGGAGCCCGTACCTTGTCAAGCACAAGATGAAGCTGGAAAAAGTTCAGAGGTATGCCACTAGACTAGTCCCAGAACTAAGAGGCATGAGTTACGAGGAACGGCTGCGGGAAATGCACCTTACGACACTGGAAGACAGAAGAGTAAGGGGAGACATGATCACTACCATGCATTGGTAGTGATCATGTGCAATGGAATGCATTAGGCAGTGATGTGGGCAGATGGAATGCCTGGTGTGACACGACATATATCTAGGTGAGTGCTCTGAACCATTTTTCTAATAAATAAACTGATCGACTAAATATTCATTTAGACATAGTAACACCCCCCCCCCCCCCCTCAATAAGATTTATATCATTAACGTCTGTATTGACAAAATTAATTTACAAATTTGTCTAATCTGAGTAAGAGAGATAAGACTCGATAAGAGATGTGTGTGTGTGTGTTGGTCCATCAGTGAACACACAGCAAGGCTCGCCCCTCAGTGATTCAGTGATATCTGTGCCCTGTAGAGTCTAATTCCCGTTTCATCTGCTCTATCCCCCCGTCTCTCTGCCAGAGTGTAGCTCCCTCCCTCTCTCTCTCTCTATCTCTCTCTCTCTCTCAAAGACACTCACAGAGCCGGTGTTCACTCCAGGCTCAGACGTGCATGTTGGAGAGTGTGAGTGTGGTGGCCAGGATGGGGAAGGTGGCTGGCCAACACCTGTTGCTGGTACTCCTGGTGCTCCTGGCCCACGGCCACCTCATACAAGGTAAGGTCGAGGCCTCATCTTACTATATATATATATATATATATATATATATATATATATATATATATATATATATATATATATATATATATATATATATTAGTATATTTTAGTAGCAGTCTTTCCTGTAGACATATATTATTAAAAACCAAAAAAGTAAGATTAATACTGAAAAAGTAAGATTAATAATTCTAACACGAATTTTCTCGATCTTTCTTATGTTTCTTTTCACTGTTGATGGCAATTGAGAAGTCAATTCTCCAAAATTCTTTTTTATTTCTAGTCTGACGCGACACTTGAACGCGTTTCGTAATAACTTATTACATTTTCAAAGACTTTTAGTTTACACACACACAACTATTACCTGCAAATACTAAACAGAGTTCTTTCTTATGCTATGATTTAAACAGCTTTCATTTTTCATTTTATACCCGCATTTTGGTGAGGTGATATGTTACAACAGTTTTGGATGAGGTGAACAAAACTTTCAACACAGGATAGAACACGAAACAATGGGTATTGAAGGTAAGAATGGAAGTAATTGCAGAGGGCCTATTGGCCCATATTTCTTTATGCTTCTATATTGGAGCGGAGTCTTGAAGTGGGTAGAATATAGTTGTGCATTAATTGGCTGTTGATTGCTGGTGTTGACTTCTTGATGTGTAGTGCCTCGCAGATGTCAAGCCGCCTGCTATCGCTGTACCTATCGATGATTTCTGTGTTGTTTGCTAAGATTTCTCTGGTGATGGTTTGGTTGTGGGAAGAGATTATATGTTCCTTAATGGAGCCCTGTTGCTTATGCATCGTTAATCGCCTGGAAAGAGATGTTGTTGTCTTGCCTATATACTGAGTTTTTTGAGGCTTACAGTCCCCAAGAGGGCATTTGAAGGCATAGACGACGTTGGTTTCTTTTAAAGCATTCTGCTTTGTGTCTGGAGAGTTTCTCATGAGTAGGTTGGCCGTTTTTTTGGTTTTATAGTAAATCGTCAATTGTATCTTCTGATTTTTGTCTGTAGGGATAACGTTTCTATTAACAATATCTTTCAGGACCCTTTCCTCCATTTTATGAGCTGTGGAAAAGAAGTTCCTGTAAAATAGTCTAATAGGGGGTATAGGTGTTGTGTTAGTTGTCTCTTCAGAGGTTGCATGGCGTTTCACTTTCCTTCTTATGATGTCTTCAACGAAACCATTGGAGAAACCGTTGTTGACTAGGACCTGCCTTACCCTACAGAGTTCTTCGTCGACTTGCTTCCATCCTGAGCTGTGGCTGAGAGCACGGTCGACATAAGCGTTAACAACACTCCTCTTGTACCTGTCTGGGCAGTCACTGTTGGCATTTAGGCACATTCCTATGTTTGTTTCCTTAGTGTAGACTGCAGTGTGGAAACCTCCGCTCCTTTCCATGACTGTTACATTTAGAAAGGGCAGCTTCCCATCCTTCTTCATCTCGTAAGTGAAACGCAACACAGAATTTTGTCAAATGCCTCCTTCAGCTTCTGCAGATGTCTGACATCAGGTACCTGTGTAAAAATGTCGTCAACATACCTGCAGTATATGGCCGGTTTCAAGTTCATGTCGACTAAGACTTTTTGCTCGATAGTACCCATGTAGAAGTTCGCAAACAGGACACCTAGGGGAGAACCCATGGCGACCCCATCTACTTGCTTATACATGTACCCATCCGGGCTCAAGAAGGGTGCCTCTTTAGTACAAGCTTGGAGTAGTTTCCTTAGAATGTTTTCTGGTATGTCAAGAGGAGTACAGGCCGGATCACGAGGCCGGACAGAGTGTATCGAGTGTATCAAGAGGAGTATAGGCCGGACAGAGTGTATCGTGATCCGGCCGGTACACTCACAAACACACACACACACACACACGCACACACACACACACACACACACACACACACACACACACACACACACACACACCAAAGAGCCAGAGCTCAACCCCCGCAAGCACAATTAGGCGAGTGAGTACACACACACGCACACACACACCAAAGAGCCAGAGCTCAACCCCCGCAAGCACAATTAGGCGAGTGAGTACACACACACGCACACACACACCAAAGAGCTAGAGCTCAACCCCCCAAGCACAATTAGGCGAGTGAGTACACACACACACACACACACACACACACACACACACACACACACACACACACACACACACACACACACACACACACACAAACACACACACACACACACACAAACACACACACACACACACATATACACACACACATACACACACATGTTGTATATGTGTATATGTGTTGCTCTGTTGATTGACGGTTGAGAGGCGGGACCAAAGAGCCAGAGCTCAACCCCCCCAAGCACAACTAGGTGAGTACTACTAGGTGAGTACACACATGGAGTATACAGCCTCAACATGGAGCCCGTACCTTGTCAAGCACAAGACGAAGCTGGATAAAGTTCAGAGATATGCCACTAGACTAGTCCCAGAACTAAGATGCATGAGTTTTGAGGACAGGCTGCGTGTGATGTACCTCACGACACTGGAAGACAGAAGAGTAAGGGGAGACATAATCACTACCTACAAAATTCTCAGAGGAATTGACAGGGTAGATAAGGAAAAACTTTTTAATACGGGTGGTACGCGAACAAGGGGACACAGGTGGCGACTGAGTACCCAAATGAGCCACAGGGACGTTAGAAAGAACTTTTTCAGTGTCAGAGTAGTTAACAGGTGGAATGCATTAGAAAGTAATGTGGTGGAGGTTGACTCTATACACAGTTTCAAGTGTAGATATGATAGAGCCCAGTAGGCTCAGGAACCTGTACACCAGTTGATTGACAGTTGAGAGGCGGGACCAAAGAGCCAGAGCTCAACCCCCGCAACCACAACTAGGTGAGTACACACACACACACACACACACACACACACACACACACACACACACACACACACACACACACACACACACACACACACACACACACACACACACACACACGTACACATACACACACACACACACACACACACACACACACACACATACACACACACACACATTCACACACACTGAATTTTACACACAAGAAGAAGAAGAAGAAGACCTGGACAAGGTGCAGAAATTGTCGAACAAACGGTTATTAGAGTTTAAACCGAGCAAATGTAATGTAATGAAGATAGGTGTAGGGAGCCGGAGACCAGATACAAGGTATCATTTGGGAGATGAAATACTTCAAGAATCAAAGCGAGAGAAAGACCTGGGGCTTGATATCACGCCAGACCTGTCCCCTGAATCCTATATCAAGAGGATAACATCAGCGGCATATGCCCGGTTGGCAAACATAAGAACGGCCTTTAGAAACTTGTGTAAGGAATCATTCAGAACATTATATACCACATATGTCAGACCAATCCAGGAGTATGCGGCTGCAGCATAGAGACCATATCTAGTCAAGCATAAGTCTAAGTTGGAAAAGGTTCAAAGGTTTGCCACCAGACTAGTACCAGAACTGAGGGGTATGAGCTACGAGGAGAGACTACGGGAATTAAACCTCACGTGGCTGGGAGACAGAAGAGTTAGGGGGGACATGATCACCAGATTCAAGTTTCTGAAGGGAATTGATAGGGTAGATAAAGACTATTTAGCACCAGGAGCACTCGCACTAAGGGACACAGGTGGAAATTGAGTGCCCAAATGAGCCGTAGAGACATTAGAAAGATTTTTTCAGTGTCAGAGTAGTGGACAAATGGAATGCATTAGGCAGTGATGTGGTGGAGGCTGACTCCATTCACAGTTTCAAGTGTAGATATGATAGAGCCCAGTAGGCTCAGGAACTTGTACACCAGTTGATTGACAGTGGAGAGGCGGGACCAAAGAGCCAGAGTTCAACCCCCGGAAGCACAATTAGGTAAGTAAAATTTGGTAAGTACACACACACACACACACATCAGGAAGCCGGTGGCCGAGCGGACAACACGCAGGGCACGTGATCCTGTGGTCCCAGGTTCGATCCTGGGCGCCTGCGAGAAATGATGGGTAGAGTTTCTTTCACCCTATGCCCCTGTTACCTGACAGTAAATAGGTACCTGGGAGTTAGTCAGCTGTCCTGGGGTGTGTGTGTGTGTGGTGTGTAGGGGGGGGGGGAAGTAGTAGTAGAAACAGTTGATTGACAGTTTAGAGGCGGGCTGAAAGAGCAGAGCTCAACCCCTGCAAGCACAACTAGGTGAATACACACACACACACACACACTCTAAACAAACATATGACACAGCTGATAAAGAGGCAGGAAGGGTGTGGCTAAACGATCCAAATGTACGAACATACTTCCGCTCTTAATCACTTTGGCTTCTGCTACAAAAGTCACTTGTTGAATTACACGAACATTTCCAGGCACATGCGGTAGGCCTCAAATTGCTCCAATTGGATGTTGTTGCTTCAACAGAAAACATAATTTGTTAGCCACTCATGAATTCATATATTGTTAATTTTACCCATTTTCCTCTTGACTTCCACATTTCCCCAGTGCTTGAATTGCTGATCAGCATGTCAGTTACATTGAGAATAATGCGATGCATTATTCTAAAACACGTGAAATATGAAATTTGAGAACTATTTGAGTGTCCCCTAGAATTTCATTTACAGATGAAAACCAAAACTTGTTTTCTTCGAAAACAAGTTAAACATAGACGTTCCATGTTTTAAACAAACGAGTTATAGTGCAATAAAGTTCTAACTTGAGAATATTCTCTGTTTAAGACAAAGATTCACCTACCAGTTTACAAGTAGGCAATTACTGGAACCGTAATATGCTTTCAGACCATCACAAATATCCAGATAAATATCCAGGTATTTAGGGCAGCTGACTGGTCATTAGTATCAATATACCCTGAGACTGGGCTGCTGTGGCGCAGATGCAAGATGTACGATAAAGAAGATAATCTCATGTGATGGTGTGTTGTCACTGGTGTTATCACAGTGATAACACAGGGAAGAGAGGGGGGAGGTAGGCTGCCAC